TGGAAATGTTTTACATAATTGCACATATCTGATTGCTTAATGTCTCAGGGAGGGGAAAGAGAGGGAGAGATAGAATTTGGAACTAAAAACTTAAAAACCCCTAAATGTTGAAAATTGTTTTAATGTGTAATGGGGGGGGAATTTATACATACATGCATACATACATACATACATACATACATACATACATATATACACATATATGTATATATAAAGTCCTTCAGTGTCTCTCTATTGCCTACTGAGCAAAGTCTAAAAATCTTTGCCTAGCATTCAGGGATATCCACATTCTGGTGCTAACCTTCCATTATAGACATATCTCATCTAGTCCAGCTATGTATGCTCTACACCTTAGCCTAACTGGGACAGTCTCTTCTCTGACGATGTCCTATGCTTTCTCACATCTGTTCGCTTGCTCACAGTTATCTGTGCATAAAATTCCCTTCTTCTCCCTCCTCTCTTGTTAAGTTCCTACTCAACCTTTAAAGCCTACCTCAAAAGCTGCTTGCTCCAGGAAGCCACACCTAGTCTCACTATCTGATGACCTATCCCTTTTTAGACCTCATTTGACACTCTATTCCCCCTTAATGTAGTTAACATTTAATATTGTGCATTTTACTTGTTCGTATATATATCACGGGAGTAAAAAAAAACAACTCACAGATGATTAGAGCTGTAAGAGACATTAGAGATCATTTAGCCCAATTCCCTCGATCTATACAGGAAACCAAAATTTAGAACCAGTAAGTAACTTGTTCAAAGTCATATAGCACATCTTCCTATCGGACTGGAAGTTCAATGAGGACAGATACCATGTCTTATCTGGACTCTATACCTTTAGCACTAAGTGCAGGGCTCCGCACATTTAATATATGTTTGTTGAATTGAATTGAATTGGGTAAGAATTGGCACTTGGGGGTATAATAGGAACTGAGGGAGAAGGGCAGGCCTTAAGAAGGTAAGGGGCTTTGTAAAGAAAGGTGGCAGTGACAAAGACATGCTCTGTGTGTGACAATACTGTAGTACGGAGACACTGACCCTATTCTCCTACCAGATCAAGGATGGAAGGGGAGAGATGACATTGAATCCAATCTATGTTGTTCAGATCTCTCAGTTTCTTTTTCTGCTTTATTTCCCCTTAATACAGTAGAAATGTTCTATCTGCTCCATTTCTGAGCTACATCTCTTAGTTTGTCTTCAAGATCCTGAATTCTCATGTATGTTCCCACACACTGTCACTTTATCAAATCTTAAAGGGTTTTTCCCCCTCCTTCAAACTAGAATTTCAACATAGATGACATTTCTCAGATCTAGTTGGGCGATAGACACAGAGCATAGCTCAGTGTGACTATATATGAAACCAGTCCCTGAGGTATCTGACAATTGAGCCCATTACTCTCTTATAGAGCTATTGTCAGAATTTTTCATTTGATGTCACAAATTTCAGTGTGATGTGCTGGAAGGAAATCTTGGGCGGGAGTCAAAGGATTTGGGTTCTAGTCCCAGATCTATCTAGCACTTTCTAACTGTATAAATTTGGGCAAGTCACTTCCCTACCCAGGACCTCAGTTTCCCCATTAATAAAAAGAGGGAATTTGACTAAATGTCTTTTAATTTCCCAACTAGCTTTGGAATTTCAGTCATTTAATCAACTAGCAATAATGCAGATTTCATGGCAAATATTCTTTGCCTACTTTTGGTCTTCAGATAATTTTTGAACTTAGAGACAGACATTTTCCTAGCTGTCAGCAGAATTTGCAAAACCCTAACCAGAATGTTGACTTAGTGAAAACTCAGACCTGTGACTATCTTGCAAAGAGTAGCCAAGAAATTGGCTGCTGTCCATGGTGCTAAGCGGGTTGAACCACTAGCTACTTTGACAGCTGCTGCCTACTTTAGGTAGCATTTACAAAGTAACATTTTAATGTCTCATCATGATGTAGAGGTGACTAGGTCATCTGGTAGAGCACCCATTTTGCCATTTTGGAAAGCCTTCAGGTATGATGATTTATGACACAATGAGTCTGCTTTCTTTAGATCAGCCTCGTAAGATACAGAGAGGCTCATGACCAATAGCCTGGTCACTTGGCTACAAATTCTTTGGCTATGGTAATGCACAAAACAAAGAAAAATGCAATGACCTCTTCTTCTGCACTAAATGGTAGCAGAATGGCAGAAAAGGAGGCAGAGACTGCTAAGTATCGTGTAGTTTTTAGACCATTTATAAACTTGAACTTGGCAATTCATAATCCAAATGTGAGATTCTGAAGAAAAATAGATTTGGCTCTAGCTTCTTATTTTAACTCTCTGTGAATCTTTCTGTGTTTCTTGTAAACAACATATTGTTTGTTCTGCTTTCTAATCAATTCTGCTATCCTCCACTGTTTTATAGGTCATTTCATCAAATTCACACTCACAGTTATGATTGTTAATTGTGTATTTCCCTCCATTCTATCCTGTTATATTTTCTCTCTCATTGCCACCCCACCTCCTTCTTTACAAAGAGGAGGGTGTTGAGGGAAGCAGCATACTCAGCATTGGTGATGACATTTGAGGCAATCTGCTTCTGTTTTGCTCCTTTTCTCATCTTTCCTTGGCCCTAATTATGGACAGTTTCTTACCCTTTTTCTTTTTGTTTATTGTACCTTTCATGCTCTGTCCTTCAAAAATGGAGTTTGTTTTGACTAATACCTCCCTAAACTACCTCCACTCTTAATCCTCCTCTCCCTGCCTGATTCCCTATTGAGCTTAATATATTTCTATACCAAATTCTCTCTGTCTGTCTGTCTGTCTCTCCCCTTTATCTTATTCACATGAAAGTGAAGTTCAGTTTTAGCCAACTCTCAACCTCTTCTGCCATGTTTGTATAGTCTTCCTTTCATGCTCCCTCATTATATGAGATAGTGAACTCCATTACTCGTTCTTTCCTACTATGTTACTTTTTATTCTTATCTTTTTTTTCCCCTTAAGATGATCAAAATATAACCAAACCAGTCCCATGGTATCTGTCCTCCTTATTCCCTCTATGGCTCTTGAAAACAGTAGGATTCTGATATGATACTTATTTTTTTCAGTTAGATTATAAACAGTTCATCATTACACAATCCCTCCAACTGCTTAAACCTATTTACTTTGCAATTTTTTTTTCTTGACTCCTGTGTTTGCATTTCAAAGTATCAACTCAGTTCTCATCTTTTTCTCAGGAAGACTTGGAAGTCCCCTATTTTATTAAAGGTTATTCCCATTCCCCACATCCATTCACCTATAAGCTTATATTCAACTTTGTGGGGTACAGTATTCTTGGTTGTAAGCCTATTTTTTGCCTTCTAGAATATTGTATTCTGAGTTCTCCTATCTTTAATAATGGTAGCTACCATGTGTGGAAGAAAATTTTTGGCACAAGCTTGACAGAAATAATTTTTTAAATTAATTTGAATTGTTGAATCTAAGCATTTTTCCACTTAAAGAGAGAGAAGTCCAAACTGGCAGAGTCTCCCAATGTCCTTGGAAATCTCTCCAACATCAGCCATTTTGAAGCTGTAATTTAAAGAATTCTCAGACAAGGAAAAAGCATTTAATTAAGTAGTTATTATGTGCCAGGCACTGCCCTAAGCACTGGTGATACAAATATAAGCAAAAGGAGACAGGCTATGCACTTAAAGATTTTATATTCTAACAGGGGAAGACAACATGCAAAAGACAGGGATGGTGGTGGTGGAGAAGAGGTACCTGAGAGGAAGAGAAGGAAGGGGATGGTGGTGGACATTGTCAAACTTCCACAATAGGATAGAGTGTGGTTATAGAGTCCAGGTGAAAATTCAATTAACATTTTTCTTCATCAGACGAAACAATATAATAGCTAATAATAATGTGCATTTATATAACACCTTAAAGCATTTTTTAAAAGGATTTTTACAAATATTATCTCATTTGATCCTTACAACAACCCTGGAAAGGGGGTAATATTATTATCCCCATTTTACAGCTGAGGAAACTGAGGCAAACAGCCGTTAAATCACTTGTCTAGGGTCTAGTAAATGTCTGAAGCCACATCTGAATTAAAATCTTCCTGGCTATAGGTCTAGCATTCTATCCATTGTGCCCTCTAGATGCTTAGTTAAGTAACAATAATCCCTTAACTTTAGGTATAAGAGAATAATTTTTCTAACATCATTCAATCCCTTTTTGACCACTTCTAAGGATACTTTTTTCCAACTGGTCAAAGATGAACTTGAGAGATATTTCTGTTACCTGAAGTAATCAGTGACTTCTTCCTACTCTTAGATCATCACACTAATCTGGTCCTGGCTTCAGGAGAAAAGGAGTACAGATCAATCCAGAGATTCTTGCCCTTGTTCTGTCACTACTCTAATTCTGTCATCAGGGAAAGTGGAATTCCTCCCTGAACTTTTTGCCCAGTTTCTTCAAAGAAGATGGCTAGGCCTACAGTAATAGGAAGAAAAGGATTTGGTACATGGCATTATTCTGGAATTTATAGTTAAAGGAAAGATTAATAAAGACTTTTCATTTATATTTGACTAACGCTTAAGACTAGGATACTGAGAAAAATGCTTTCTTATTATCACTAAAAGAGGAAGGGGGATAGAGATTGGTGTTTTTTCATACAGATCTTGTATGATCCTGATTGTGTCTACTTAGTACTTGAACTCTTTTCCCCCATGAGTGCTTGATGTATCTTTTTTTTTTTTCTGACCTGGAAGGTCTAGATTTAGCCTATAATTTTTCTAGGAGTTTTCACCTCAAGGTTTCTTTCAGGAGATGACTATGGATTCATTCTTTTTTCACTTTGCCCTTTGGTTTTAATAGGATCTGTGGAGTCTTTCATCCATAATTTCTTGAATATATTTTCAAGGCTTCTTTTATGGTTGAACTTTTACACCATCAAACGGATGATTCTTAGATTATCTCTCCTTGACTTGTTTTCCAGGTGAGTTGTTTTTGATAGAAAATGCCTTATATTGGCTGATATTTTTTTCCAGGCTTTGAGAAGAAATCCTGTCTCCATTCCCTGCTTTTTCTTTATCCTTGCTGGAATTGTGAAAAAGCTGGGCTTTTCTGTTTCCCCCAATAGAGGCATCTTGAGGAGAGTTATTTAAAGGTGAGATCTGGTGACCAATGAATGAGTGAACTTGTTGATAGAGGGACCTGAATCATATCAATCTTTATGTGCTCTCTAAAAACAAAACTAGAAGAAAGGAGAACATGGCAGCCAAATATTATATAGACATATGATATCTATATATAATATGGACCATAGATTCTCCTTGGAAAGGCAAATAAAAGAAGATAGAGGAGTTGCTTTTATCATAGGCTTAAGGGAAACAAGAAGCATCATTTCATGAGACCTGCAATGTACTGCTAACATGCACTAACATCAGATGCGAAGAATGAAGAGGTAGAGAAAAGCTATAAGAAATTTAAAAAACCACAACATTGAATAAATATACACATTGATACTCAGTGACTTGGATGCAAAGGTGGAAATAGGTGATAATGATGGGAAATACATTAGAAAATACTGATCAGTAATGATAGCTAGCATTTATATAGTGCTCTAAAGTTTGCAAAGTGCTTTACCAATATTATCTCATTTGATCCTCACAACAACATTGAGAGATAGGTGCTAGTATGATCCCCATTTCATAGATGAGGAAACAGGCAAACAGAGGCTAAATGACTTGCCTAGGATCACATAGCTAGCAAGTGCCTGAAGCTACATTCAGAGTTAGGTCTTCTTGACTCCAGGTTCAGTGATCTATCCACCATGGCACCTGAAAACCTTCCTTCATAAGGAATAATGAATTCTAAGGTGGGTAAATTATACGGAGGGCAGTTAGGTGGTGCAGTGGATAGAACTCTGGGTCTGCACTCTGAGTTCAAATCCAGCATCAGACACTTACCAGCTATGTGACCCTGGGCAAGTCACTTAACCCTGTTTGCCTCAGTTTCCTCATCTGTAAAATGAGCTGAAGAAGGAAATGGCAACCCACTCCAGCATCTCTGCCAAGAAAACCCCGAATGGGGTCACAAAGTCAGACACCACTGAAAAACGCCTTAATGATAACAACAAAATTATACACAGCTTTAATACTTCATTGAATGAATGCTTCCTTTCAGAAAGGAATCAGAATGTGTTCAATGTGGTGAGGATCAAATACCATCACAAAAATGAAATCAATTATATTTTATTTCATTTTTTAACGAAGAGGTTAAGTTTATAGGAGATAAATCATTTCTGATTTTGAGGTAAATTCACCATGCTCTGTCTATGTAAAGTCCTTTAAAATATGTAGTAGGATAAAAATGGAAATACAAAAACGTTTCTTCAAGTAGAAAAGTTACAGTGGATGATTAAAAATATTTGCATTGTGAAATATGACGGCATAAATGAATATATCATAGATGTGTAAAAAAGAAAATTATAAAAACAGTACTGTGAAGTTCTTGCCTTCACAGTGGTTTCTTAAGGCCAGAAGGAAATACAAATATTGATAAGGCCCCTTATTCTCTGTGCAGAAATCAAGACATAGTTCAAGACAGTCACAGCTTAGAAATACTTGCATAATGGTATTGACTCAGCTTTTTGAAAAAATAAAACTTAGAAAATCACAAAAAAAGTCTCCTCTAAAAAGTGACTGTCTCACAAAATGAATAATCACCTTTATTTTTCAAAGTCCTACCCACAAACACTTCCCAAACACTTTTGAATAAATAATTTGTTATTAAAATCTATGCCACTATTTTCATAAGTAATATAATAGAATATACTTTTAATATTTAGTATTATGCTTTTCCCCAACAAAATACCCTTGTACAGAAACAATTGTGAATTACTAGGAGTCAGACACTTAATCACCTCCTATAAATATTGCTCTTGATTTTTTCACACAAAATAAATGTTTTTAAATTCTATATTTCAGGTCAATTACAACTTGTCTAGGCAAATTCTTATTTTTCACAAAGGAAAACAAATGGATGGTGTAGGTACGATACTGCTTTACAGAGTAACAACCAGCCTAAAGTGATCCAGCGCCCTCTAACCCTGGCCATAATCCCAACTTAATAAACCACAGTAGATCATATATTTGGAGTTGGAAGCTACATTAGAAGTCATCTAGTCCCGGGTTTTAGGGTAAGTTTGCATGCCATTTGTCAGAACACCCAGACTACTTAGTAGCGGCCAAGTCACCCAAAGGTAGATTATATTCCCAAAGAAGACATTCATTAAAATGCGTCTTGTGATCCAAATTCCTAAACATTACAAGGCCTTATGAATCCAATGACGGTTTGACATCTCAATTACAGGCTTGAAATGTTAATGTTCTAATTCTTGAAGCAACCGTTATCACCATTAGAATAAATTTTACTTCCTGAGAGCAAGATATTCTGATCCTTTTTGTTGTTTAGTCTTTCAGTCATGTCCATCTCTTTGTGAGCCCCACAGACCATGGCACACCAGACCCTTCGATTATCCACCATCTCCCAATGTCTATCCAAGTTCATGTCCGTTGCTTCTATGACATTATCTATCCATCTCATCCTCTGTCATCCACTTCTCCTTTTGCTTTTAATCTTTCCCAACATCAGGGTCTTTTCTAATGAGTCCCATCTTCTTATTATGTGGCCAAAGTATTTAAGCTTCAGCTTCAGTATTTGACCTTCCAGTGAATAGTCTGAATTAATTTCTTTAAGCATTGACTGATTTGATCTCTTTGCTGTTCAAGGGACTCTCAAAAGTCTTCTCCTGCACCACAATTCGAAAGCACAGATTCTACGGTGCTCAGCTTTCCTTAGGCCAACTCTCACAGCTGTACATTGCTACTGGAAAAACTATAGCTTTGACTATATGGAGCTGTGTCACTAGGCAATGTCTCTTCCTTTTAGTATGCTGTCCAGATCTACCATAGCTTTCCTTCCAAGGAGCAAGCGTCTTCTAATTTCATGGCTGCAGTTATCGTCTGCAGTGATCTTTGAGGCCAAGAATATAAAATCTGACACTGTTTCCATTTCTTCTCCCTCTATTTTCCAGGAAGTGATGGGACCAGTTGCCAAGATCACCAATTTTTTTTTAAAATATACACTCTCCTCTTTTGCGCTCATCAAGAGGCTTCTTAATTCTTGTTTGCTTTCTGTCATCAGAGTGCATCACCCGCATATTTGAGATTGTTGATATTTCTCCCAGCAATCTTAATTCTAAATCTTAATTCTAGCCTGGCATTTCACATGATGCACTCTGCTTATAAGTTAAATAAATAAGGTGACAACACACAGTCCTGTCATACCCCTTGTCCAATCTTAAACCAATCAGTTGTTCCGTGTTCAGTTTTAACTGTTGCTTCTTGGCTTGCATACGGGTTCCTTGGGAGATGAGTAAGATGATCTGTCTCTTTTTGAGGAGCCTGAAATTGACAGTAAATAACAGTTACCATGGTTAGGTAAAAATCACTCAATGCTTTTGACAGAAAAGACTCAGGAGTTCATATCTTAGTCTCTGTCCATTTAATTTTCAAGGTACTCCAGTGAAAGCCTCCTAAGGTCCTTTTGGGTATCCGAGTAGTCTTCCAGATTGCCATACAATGACCTCACCACGTCCAGTTTCCAGTAGTCCTGAGACTTGACCAGGCATGAATAACTGAAGACATTTTTCTTTCAGTGTATAAACTGGGAGTGTGATATTGGCAAAAACAGGCTGTCCATTTTCATTAAGAGATGGCACAAATAATTCAGTCTGGTTAACAAGAAGTCCATCACTGCTATTGCATCTCTGGATAACTAAAAAGGACCAAGGTAGATGTTCATCTTGTGGCAGTTGCTGGGCAGTAGCATCTGGAAGGGTGTCGAGGCATCTATGACATTTTAGTAGCACTTCAAGGTTTGCAAGAGATTTATTACTTCCTTTGATCACATGATATTTATCATCTCATTTGATTCTCGCAAGAGCCCCATGAGAGGGGCAGCTAGGTGGTGCAATGGATAGAGCACTGGCCCTGGAGAGGGGAGGACCTGAGCTCAAATCTGGCTTCAGACATTTGACACTTACTAGCTGTAACCCTGGGCAAGTCACTTAACCCCAGTGGCCTCTCCAAAAACAAAAACAAAAACAAAACCTCCAAATACATTTTGAACTGCTTAAACAAAATACTGATGATTAAATATAGGATATGAACAGAAGAAATAATATACAGACTATAATAATTCCATTCAGAATTTTTTTTTTTTGGTGAGGCAATTGGGGTTAAGTGACTTGCTTAAGGTCACACAGCTAGTAAGTGTCAAGTGTCTGAGACTGGATTTGAACTCAGGTCCTTGTGACTCCAAGGCTGGAACTCTGTCTACTGCTCCACCTAGCTGCCCCCCTCCATTCAGAATTTTAACGTATATAAATCAGTTACCACAAAAAGGAGACCAAAAGAGTCTAAAAATGCTGTAGTCAGCAAACACTTGATTTATTTGACAAACAGAAATGTCACTGGAGAGAATGAAGATGCGAAAATCTGGAGGAGACCAGGTGTTTGTAGAAGAAATCTCTGCTGAAAGCAACACAATTAGGAGCACACTAAGGGATTAACAAGGTATCTGAAGGAAGGGAAGGTCACAAAGTATAGAAAAAAGTAAGACCTTTTAATAAAGAAGGAAATGAATGAACAAATATTAATCCATATACCTACTTTCTTATTGATATAAAAGTTTAATAATATATGCATTTATAGAGGCTATGCTTAATGAAAGTGTTAGTAGGGAATAGACATCTTTTCATAACAGATGTTTCTTTGGTTTATGATTAAAAGATATTTTGGACTTAATCCTTAAAACCAAAATATACATAGTAGAACAGGAAAAAGATGGTTGTATATTAATTTGTGAATGTCTATTACATATACCTTCCTTTTAAAAAGTGCATAATAAATTCATTATATTACTTTCAATGTTATTTTATATTTGTTTCCTTCTGATCTTCTGTTTTCTTTTTTTGCATTTTCTTTCTTCCTTCCTTCCTTCCTTCCTTCCTTCCTTCCTTCCTTCCTTCCTTCCTTCCTTCCTTCCTTCCTTCCTTCCTTCCTTCCTTTCCTTCTTTCTTTCTTTCCTCTAACTCCAAAATCACTCCCTTCCAATTGGAAAAAAAGAAGAGAAGCAAAACCCTTGTAACAAGTAAGTATAGTCATGCAAAACTAATCTATACTTTATCCATGTCTAAAAATGTAGAGGCAACTGGTGGTACAGTGGGTAGAGCTCTAGGCCTGGAGTCAGGAAGATGATCTGAGTTCAAATTGGCCTTAGACACTTACTGGTTGTATGACTCTGGGCAAGTCACTTAACCTCTGTATGACTCAGTTTCTTTAATTATAAAATGGGGATAATAACAGCATCTACCTACTAGGGTTATTGTGAGGATCAAATGAAGTAACAGGAAAGCACTTAGCACAGTGCCTGGTACATGGTAGGTGCTTATAAATGTTTCCTTTCTCCCTCCTCCTTTCCTCCCTTTCTTTCCTTTCCTTTCTTCCATCCTTCCTTCCTTCATTTCTTCCTCCTCTTCCTTCCTTCCTTTTTCATCCTGAGTCTATCACTTCTCTGTTAGATTGTGGTCACCTTCCTTCATCATCATCCAGAATTTACATTTCACAATAGACCACCTCTTTACCATCACCCAATTGACTGAAAGATGGAGAATACAGGATCCCACTGTGCCTACTGTTTGTTGATTAAGTTTAAAAAAAGTTGATTCAGTAGAGCAAAATGTTGCCTTAAATCAAGGGTTCTTCATATTTTTTGTGTCATGGACCTCTCAGCAGTCTGGGGAAACAATCTAGCAACTCTTTCTTGGAATCATGTTTCTAAATGCATAAAATAGAATACAAAAGATTACAAAGGAAATCAATTACATTGAGATACAGTTAACTTTCTCTCTCTCTCTCTCTCTCTCTCTCTCTCTCTCTCTCACACACACACACACACACACACACGTAACATGAATTCATGAACCCCAGGTTAAGAACCTTTGCTTTAAAGGATCTTCCAACGAGGCAATATATCAAGATAATTCAAAAATCTTTGAAAAATCAACAAATAGATATAACCTTGTTCAAAACCCTTAGATCACTAGTGCCATGTAAAGCATGAAGCAGAGAGACAGAACACAGCACAGTTCTTTGTTACCAGCGTGAAGAGGGTCCAGCACAGTCCGAGATTCCCTTTGGATGAGGAAGTCCTGAAGACTCTTTGGTTTTCAGATGACCCTGTGCAGGTTGTGTCAATCTCCAGGATGTTACAGAACCTTTATTAAGTCCATAACAGCTCACAAGCATTTGGCCTAACCATCCACACGGGAAAATAAAAGTGGATGAATGTCTGTTGTTGAGATCGTGACATGCAATTCGATGGATGGCGTATGGAGCTTATATATGTGTCTTGGAAAAAGTGAGGGTGGATAATGAGCTGGCCCTAGAAGGAAATAGGAGGAGAAGAGTATAGTCTAGATTGCCTTTAGGACATTGTGAGGCTCTTTTGATGACCTCAAATTTCTGTCAGAGACAAAGGCCCCTTGTTAATACCAGTATTATATAGGGGATATTGAATGGTCATGAGTTACAGAAATGCTACAGCCTCCAAATAAGAAATCACATTGACGGGGCAGCTAGGTGGCGCAGTGGATAGAGCACCAGCCCTGAAGTCAGGAGGACTTGAATTCAAATCTGGCTTTATTAGCAGTGTGACCCTGGACAAGTCAGTTAATCCCAGTTGCAAAAAAAAAAAAAAGAAATTACATTGAAATATTATATAGAAATAAAGATGTGGTTTTCTTCCCATCCAAGTTCGAGGGCTCCTTAGAGGTCTATGATGGTAGGTTAAGAACCCCTGCTCTAGTACAAACTATTCCTAGAAGAGAATTCCCTCTATAGTGAGAATAATTTCTTTTGTAATCCTTCATATTTTGTTTTATGCATTTAAAAGCATGATTCTGAGAGAGGGTTGATAGGCTTCACTGGACTATCAAAGGGGTCCAAGCTGGAGGGGGAGAGAGAAAATAAGCATTTATCAAGTGCTTGTTATGTTCCAGGCATGGTGTTCAGTGTTTTACAGATATTATCTCATTTGATTCTCACAAAATCATAGGTGCTAGTATTATCCCCATTTGCAGTGGAGGAAACTGAGGCAGACAGAGGTTAGGTGATTTGGCCAGGATCATGCAGTTAGGACGTGTCAGATGTTGTACTGGCCCCAAGCCTGGCGTTCTATCCATTGCATCATCTGGCTGCCTTTTTTGTGACCAGAACACAGAAAGATTAAGAACCCCTGAAGTAGAGGACCACTGAAGTGCCTTCTAACTTTGAAAATCAGTGATCTTATGACTCTATTTCTCCATGGTATTTGAGTGTGCACCAGAGTCCTATGACCTCTGACCATCTGAATTTCCTGAACACTGACACTCATCCATTCTAGGCTTCTGAGGACTCTGCCAAGGATTGAATGAATGAAGATAAAAGAATGAAAAACTTTTTGAAGTGCTCATCAATTAGGGAATGGTTAAACAAAATACTGTATGTGAATGTAATAGAATAATATTGTGTCATAAGAAATGACAAAAGAGAAATTTTCAGGGAAACCTGGGAAGACTTGTATGACGTGACGTAGAGAGAAATGAGCAGAACCAGAACAGTATAATGAAGGCAGTCTGATATGTGTGTAGACCCTGTAAGTTTGCTATGATGGCATCATCCATGTGGAGACTCCATCTTTGCAAGCTGATGAGATCTGTACACGTGCATGACCTCCATTTCAACAATATGGTAAACACAAACAACTTTGAAAGAATTAAGACCTCTGATCAATGCAATGACCAGCCATAATTCCAGAGAACTGATGATAAAATATGCTATCTGATTCCTGACAGACAAGTGATAACTTCTCAATAGGCAGAAAGATGCAAATTATTTTACATGGCTGGTGTGGGAATTTGTTTTGCTTGACTATGTATATTTGTTTCAAGGATTTTGTGTTCTTTTTTTTTAATAAGGGAGGAGAAGGGAGGGAGAAAAAAATGCCCATTCATTGACAAAAATGAAATAAGAAAGTTTTGAAAAAAGTATTTCTTAAATGCTTATTATGTACCAGTCTCTGTGCTAAGTATTTGGGACACAAACAAGCTATAAGCAAGTATCTTTCACTACTTGTGTGATATGCACTGTCCAGCTCTTTGGCATTCTCAATATTCAGACTTTATGGCCCAGTATTCAAGGTATGCTTAGGAAACACAGACTGTATTGAGAAGGATGCACCTTCTTCCAATATCATAAAGTTCTATTCTATTGTTATCATGGGGGCTAGAGGCCCAGAGAAGCCTGCCCAAGGTCACAGAACAACGATACAGCCAAGACTAGGATAAGGGTGAGTTTTTATTGGATTGATGAATTAATTATCCCCCTCTATTTGGGTCTACTTCACTTAACCCTTCCCCTTCCTCTTCCTCCCACACTGAACACTATGGAACCTGCATAGAACTACCAACATGAATTCAACTCATTTCAACTAAATCCAACAAATATCATTAAGCAACTTCTATGTGCAGGTGCTGTGTTGGGGCCTTAGCTTAACAAGTGAGAACACATCTTGATTAGAGTAAAGAAAGAAGGAAACACATTTATTAAATACCTATTAAAAACCTATGATATCTCAGGCAGTGTGCTAAGTGCTTTGCAAATATCATCTCATCTGATTCTCACAACAATTCTGGGAGGTAAGTATTGTTATTATCTCCAATTGAATCAATCAAAGGCATTCAGCTAGATAGAAAAGGAAATCTCTAATCATTCTTTAATTGGTTAAAGGACCACAGTCCTTTAAAGGACCACAGTCTAACCAATGTGGGGCTAGTATAATACAACTAAGGTAGTCTAGAATTGGGGATTTGAAAGAGTAGTGAGGCAGGAGAGAGCAGTTTTAGCCAAGACCCTAAGAAGGAATCACTTGGAAGAGCAGAAGAAGAGCCTTCCTCGACCTTGGTCTTGGTTTCCTACTCCTCCTCTTTTGTCAGAGGAGGACATCATATACTTCAGGAGGCCTAAGGATCTGCATTTCCTAACAATTGTCCCTGAACAGCTGACAGTAGTGTCTACATCAGGAGCCAAAGACAGCCTGGTTGCAATGAAGAAAGACAACTTCAAAGTTTTACTTGGAGCTCAGCAGAAAAATGACACCATAGCTAAGAGTAACTTCATAAGTACCTCCATGAAGAGAAGAAAAGGACTTTCAGGTACCAATAACTATGAATTATTCCTTTGCCACATGTGCTTTCTTGAGTTTACTTTCCCCCTACTCTATATGTACCAATAGGAGAATGTGTCACAGACTTTTGGGGTTATGTCTTTGTACCAAATGTTGTTGCCATACCACATTAGCAATTACCTATTTTAAAGGCTGATGAAGCTGGCAGACCAAATGATATCGATTGGTGATGTAGGGAGAAGCACACTGGTGGGGGCTCATAAGTTTCAGCATTAGAAAACTATCCTCCCCAACTCCTCTGAGTTGCCCCTAGAACTGTGAGGCGACAAGTAGTAGCTGCCCTCTGAGGATCCAGCCTGACAGCATGAGAAAGGGTCAGAATAGTAGCCCCAGAGCATTTGCTATTCCAGAATTCAAGTATCTTGACTTAGCACTCTTCCCATTTCACTACTTAACCTTTGTAAAGTCTTCTCAAAAAATGTACTTTTAAAGACTTCCTTCTCACCTCCAGCTGTCCCACTTCATTTTCATGGCTCTCAGCCCATCTGTTTTAGCTCATACTTCACTATTAATTAAAATTCAGGTGCTAATTGCTTCTTGGCACCTTTCAGGACTCAGCATGGTGTAGTGGAAAGAGTGTTGGACCTCCAGTCAGAAGTTCTGGGCCTGAATCCAACTCAGCCATCTATTAGCTATATGTATGACCTTGGCAAGTCACTTACAGTTTCTAAGCCTCAGTTTCCTCATCTGTTTAAAAAAAGGGAGGTGATGGATGAGGGATAATAGTTGGCCTACATACCTCACAGGGTTGTTGAGAGGAGAGTATTTTAATCCTTAAAGTAGTTGGTAAAAGTCAGTTATTGTTATTAATACACCAATTTGTACAAAACAGACCTCTAATAAGCATTTGCTGAATTGAATTATTACGAACAACCTTGATCCACTCTCATTAACCCCCAGCTCTCTCCTTTTTATAAAGAAAGCACTGTTTTGAAGTAGTCCTCAATCCCTGTTCAACGCTCATTTGGATGAATGATTTCATTTTTACCAACCATTTTCTTAAAGGAAATAGACCTTTATCAACTTTGTGTGACCCTGAGCAAGTCAGAACCTCTATCTGTTTCCTTATCTGTAAAATGAGGATGATAATAGAGCCTGTCTTACAGGGTTGCTGGAAGAATCCAGTGAGATAATATTTGTAAAGCACTTTGCAAACCTCAAAGCTCTATATAAATTCTAGCTATCGTTTGCTTATTGTATTAAATCCTGCCTCATGTGTATAGGTTGTGTGGTTCTGGGCAAGTCAGTCAGTGCTTTGGGCACCTCTAAGGTCCTAAGTTATAGAGAAAGGTGCCAATCTGCACAGGTGTAGAGTTTCCTCATTTGAGAGGTCCCAAATGCAGGGGTCAGTAAATTACAAACCAAGGGCCAAATCTGGCCTGTCCTTGGTTTTGTGATTTTGGAGGTCATCTACTGGGTTGCATAGCGGGTAGAGCATTGGGTAGAGCATTATTTTTGCCAACCATTTTATTTTTTTTTTAAATTTTTTTGTTTTACCAACCATTTTTCTTAAAGGAAATAGACTCTGCCTTACTGTGATGTCCTGTGTTCAAACCTGGCCTCAGACACTTAACTAGCTATTTGATCCTGGGCAAGTCACTTTCCTTATTTGTAAAAATTGGGCTAATAACAGCACCCACCTCACATGGTTGTTGTGAGGATCAAAGGAGATAATTTTTTTGAAAGCCCTTGGCACAGTGTCTGGCACATAGGAGGCACCATATAAATGCTTATTCTATTCTCCTCTACTTCCTTTCCCACCCCTTCCCGTTTCCTTGGTCAACAATTCTTAGCTCAGGGGACATACAAAAACAGGCAGCAGGCCACATTTGGCACTAGGTCATAGCTTGCTGATCCCTGCCTTACAAAGATGAGATCACGGATACAGTCCTTCACCCCAATGTATACCTTCAAAGGCACTGGGGAATGCTCATTTCCTTAAGATAGGAATTCCTGGAGTAGGAACAGGGAATTTCAGTAATATGTTACCCACTAGCTGAGTCTGCAGTCTGTTTCTTCGTTAGCTCTACCTAGCAGAATTGTGTGTCCACGAGGTGGGTCCAGATGGTCTCTTTTTTGCCCACAAATGAACACATCATAGATAGACCTTACCCAGAAGAGTTATACCTTCTTTAGCCATGCACTGATGCAGAACAGCT